GATATAAATTCATGAAATAGTAGTTCAATAAAATTTTAAATGCAAGTCAACAAACGAGATGACATGGCCTTTCACCCTTGACCCGTATGGAAAGGTTTAAATACTCAATAAAGCATTTAGAGTACATTTTCTAAATTTTGTATAATGTTGTGTTTCACTTGTCTGTTACTGCTTTAATGATGTATTCAGAGTTAAACAATAGCAAGATTTCTGATTTTCTGGAGCAGTTTATTTTTTATAATCTTCTATAATTTATTTAGCAAGTAGAAGTCGATGGTCAACAGTGTATGCTGGAGATCCTGGATACAGCAGGAACAGTAAGTTTATGTTTTGCTCATCCAGTTTGTGTTTAGTGTTTGCCATTGCATGCACATGGGTAAGATAGGAACATGTCAACCACTTAGTAAAGTTTGTTTAAGGAAATGTAACTTGTGGGTTAGAGGATGTTTGTACTCATCCTATATTTGGAACAAAACTTTAATCAATTTCTTTTATTCTGGGAAACACAGAAGTGGTTTTAAGTCATGTTTGGTGCATATTGAGCATATATAGGTTTCTACACATTTATTCTACCAAGTGTTTAGTTAATATCTTAGATTGGAACAAGTCAAGTGTACTGTAGGAGTTCTAGTGACTGACTGAAGCTTTATAGCTAATTAAAGAGCTGTTTGTAATAAAGACCTGTCAGTGTTTACAGTATATATATCTCCTGTGTAGTGAAAAGCTACTTGACTTTGTATAGATCATGTGTTTTTAAAACTTAAAATAATAAACTACTCATACATTTAACCAGTAAAATTCTTTAGATTTTCAAAGAAAGAAAGTTATATTAATGATATTAATTTGGTATTTAATTACATCTTGTACTGAACAAGATGAGCAAATATGTCACACTTTTGACATTTGGGTGATCAGAAAATACTATACAGTATTGAAAAGTAACTTATTATTTGGATGTGATTAGAAAATACTATAAGTATTGTAAAATAATTTCTCCCCTAATTAGTACAGGATAAGATGTTCTTAAGCATCATACTAATGGCTAGCATGTTTTACTTCTATCTTGTAGCTCTTTATGAATTGTTCTTTAACAGTTTTTAAATATTCTGGAAAAAAACCTGTAAAGTCTTCACAATTGTAACTTCATTTATATCCCTGAAAAGTCCTTGAAAAATATCTGTAGTCAAGTATTTTAGGAATGCACTGGAAAATGTAAAATGCTTTCAGCAAAGTATTTTCATATTTCTTGAATTCTATATGTTGCTACCAACATGTCAAGGGCTGACCTGACATCTAATAATGAATTATTTAAGTATAGAGCTAACATGTTCAACATTTTACTGGTCACCTCTATGAATATTGCCACATTGGTATAGATAGATAGGGATGGAATACATGCATGTTATTTTATTAATAACATCACTGGTGTTCAGTTATCTACTTTAGTTATAACCTGATACATCACCTTTGGTATGATGTAACTGCATTGGATGAATTAAAAGACTGTGTGTGTGCCAGAAGTTTAGATTCTCGAGGCATTTCGTAAGGTATGTGGTTGGCAGCATTTTATCATTATTCTCATCAGTCAAACTGACATTGCAGGGGTTATCAGTGTGTGGAGTTACTAGTATTTGAAGTCATCGTGATGGTACGTTGATCCTGAATTAAAGTGATGCTCATGTCACTATGCTTCTGTATTTAAGTAGTGGTTTTTCATGTTTAGGCATTTTGGTTGTTTTGAAAGTACTGAAATAATACAAGATTACAATGGTAAAAGTATACCACATTACTTATGCTATATTTTAATTACAATTAATATTCCAAGTCAGTGCTGAGGCCAAGAAAAAATACCAAAAGGTCCAGATTGCAACAGCAAACATAAGATATTTTAACCTTTTGTTAATATTTTGTTCTTCTATCAAACACCTTCAACTTCAGCATTATTAATTCAAATTCACTGTAAGTCCAGTTAGTACATGACATTGACCTATTGAACTCTCCTAAACTGATTGTCTCTTACTTTGGTCTGCAAGATGAGGCAATAAAACTTGATTTTGAAGGCTTTGTTTTTCAGCTTGAACTATCGAGTATTTCTTACTCATTACATATATATGTGTGTGTATTTATACTAAATGCATCTTTTAATAGAATATATTGAGCATGTTTCTCATGACTTGCATATGAAATAATACAGTATTGTAAGAAAATAATAGTTTCAATATTAGATTTTGCAGTAGCCTCATAAACTTGAGCTAAATAGAAGACATTATACTTTGAAATACAACTTTCTCAAAAGAAGCTTTAAGTCCATTAAGTTTACTGCATTTAAGACTCAGTTTTTTGAGTTGCGTACTGTTTCAAGATTGTCTTTATTTTGACTGCTAATTTCGTAATAACCCCAAACAACAGTTCTTTTAAACAAGTCAATGTCATTACTGTCTCTAACATTGAGTTGCTTGTTGATATAGGAACAGTTCACAGCTATGAGGGATCTCTACATGAAGAATGGACAGGGATTTGTCTTGGTGTACTCCATTACAGCACAGTCCACCTTCAATGATTTGCAGGACTTACGAGAACAGATTCTACGTGTGAAAGACACAGATGATGTAATTTCATAGTTTTTTAATAACTTTAGCTAGAGCTGGGCAGTTAATTATTTTACATAATCAATTACTGTCATGTAAAATAATGGATTAATCAAAATTATGATTAGATTGATTGATGTCACAAAAATAAATAACTAATCACAATTAGTGTTCCTATTAAAACTATTTTCGAATATTCCAACTATCCAATTAAACACAGTATTTTCAATATGATTTTTCATTATTATTCTTGATTAATGAAGGTTGTTCAGCTCAATCTATGTTGATTAGCCATGACAAGAGCCATATAAAGAGAGAGAGTTTGGTCAACTGCCAATTTGTGATGTCATTACTGAAATTGGAAGCCACGATAGGTCCACCTGAGCCTGTTACCAGTTCCACAAGATTGACAAAACCTGTATATAAGTACAGTGTGTGCTGGGAAAGTGATGAAGATTTTGTGTTTGTTGGTGTGCTAATTATTGATGAATCAAACTCTATTTTTCTTGGACAAATAGGTTTAATGTTTTGTTGAGTATATTTAAACAAGTGTCACTGGAAGACTCAACGATTTTCATTGTTTCACTTTTCCTAAGTTCAAATAAGGCTAGCTTACAAATGGTTTAGCCTAGCATTAGGCCTAATAGATTGGGCATTTCATTGATTCGTTTAGGGTCTGAATTTTCCCTTTAGGCTAAAACCTTAACTATATGTAAACACTCTTTGTTATACTAACGAGAACTTGATATACTCTATGTAATTTATAGGGCCTTCATTTGGCCTTGGCTAGGCCAGACCAAACTAAAATGTTAGCAAACGTGACATTGTAGCCTAAAGGTAACATTAATGATCATAGGCATAGCATAACATTAGGCTGAGTTAAGTGACTTTTGTCAGCCTCCGATTCAAGTTCTGTGATATTGAAATGCCCCAGCATGGATTTTTCTGTGATACGGATGCGTTTTATCCCATATTTCAAAGAGATTTTAGAAAAAAGTTGTCTAAAACGAGTGAAATTTATCCACTTCTTCTCAATCTTTGTTACCTCTGTTCTGTTTGCCTGCAATCTCCAACCTGCCCTTCCTACTTTCACTTCCCAAATTTTTCTCCTGTCAAGATCTGCTGGAAAGCCAAACAAATGGACACCCTTTTCTGTTCAATTGCTGCACCCCAGACAGCACAACAAGGCATTTTTAAATAATTTTTCATCAAATTCCACTATTTTCTGTGAATTGGGTTTTAAGTGCCTTCATAGAAAGTGCTGTGTTTACATACCGTGTCTGTTATCGAGAAATGGACCTAAAATGGTGCCATGTCAGGGTGTGTCTGCTCTAGACCAATCAAAAACAGTTACCCAGTTGGCCAAACTCTCTCTCTATATATATGGCTTTGGCCATGACTAGAGCTGGGTGATTAGTGGAATTTGATATTTAATCATTAGGCTGATTATTTTATTCATTTAACTACCCAGTATGTCCGCAAGGTGGTGGATAGTGTGACAACCTCTTAGGAAGTTAGATGCAAATAAGGGCTTGCCCGAATATGCAGTTGCAGACCAAATGTCATAAGGTTGCAGAAAACGAGGTGAGTCATCTTGATGGTGCAGATGTCCTGATCAAATTCTCGCATGTTCAGACAAGGGACCTTACGGGTGAATCAGGGGCACTCTAAAAATCTCTATTGTTTATCTCTCCCCCCCCCCCACTGCCTATGAAGAAGCCTTGTTGATGGTAGGCCACATTCCCATCAAAGAATGAAATGAAGAAACAAAAGGAAGGCTGTAATGCTCAAGGGCCTAAAGAGCAAAAGGCACAGACAACTTGTAGTTCAGAGAAGATATTTCTCAATGACTCATTACGATCAAACCTGAAAGGGAGTCGTACATACAACACAAGAACAATCAGAACTGAAGATGATATACAAAGACTGACCGAGGAGTTAAGATTTCCAATTATATATTGCACAATCAAAATGGAAATGGGCTGGACCTATTGCTTTATTAAAACAGAACAGATGGACAAAAAAGAATCACAGAAGATGGCATGATGACATCATAGAGAAAAAGGGCGTCACATAGTTGAGGAAAGCAGCAGATAGACAGACTTGGACGTCTTTGGTGGAGGGCTACGCCTTGCAGTGGGTGGACACAGTCTAGAATGAATGAATGAATCAGTTATTCTTACACGAGACTTGAGTAGTTGTAATAATCAGAAATACAAACGTTGATTAATTGTAGCTAAGTGGAAAACTGTTCTAGTTCTACAAGGTAAAAAAATATTTTTTAAAAGTGAGTTATTATTTAAAGCATACTGCAGTTTTTCTAATCATTATGCTGGTTATATCAGCAGAATTTAATTATTCTCTTTTCCCTCGTTTCTGTTTCAATAAATTTTAAATCTTGGTTAATATGAGATTGTCCTGTTTTATAGCTTGCAGTTTATACTTTATAGAGCTCTAAACAACTTCGTACCATCTTTTGGACTAATGAAAGATTTTTCTGTAAAGTATCTACTAACTTTACATAAACATTGACACTGTATTTTCATGTATTTAGTAATAAATATGTCACATTATATTTGAATATGATAAATAAAGAAGATCACATCATTATTCGTAATGTTTATCATCTTGTCATTAATGCCAAAAGTGTCAAATTAGTGTCTTATCTTTGGAGCTCAATTTTCACTGTGTACTGAAGTTATTAACTAAGTCCCGTATTGCAAAAATTAAATGAGTTTTCCATTATTTACCATAAAAGTTGCTGTTATCGGTGTAACCAAAAGATATTACTGCATGGTTATTCTCTTTTAATTCAGTTTTTATTTGAAGTGTTGATGAACTCAAACTGAGAGAGATGCCCTACCAGTTTTAAGACTTTTTACTGTAAAACAGAACTATGAAATAATTTTGTTTTCAGAAGAGCATGCTGTATAAAGTTATTAGAAAAGTTGTACTTGTTTAGTGCATTGGTTTTCACATGGACTGCTTTGTTCAATATTTGTATTCTTCCTTATGTACGAAACAATTATGTTTAATAATGAGAAAATATTTTACTAAATCTTTGATTTTGGAATTATATTTGTTGCATATTTATTTTAATAATTTTTTATATGGAAATTGTAATTAGCTTATTAAGACGTTTATGGACATTTGATTGTATGGTTACATGGAGTAGGGACTACAATACTTATATGAAAATGTTGCATAATTTAGGTTCCCATGATCCTGGTGGGTAACAAGTGTGACCTGGAGGATGAAAGAGTTGTTGGGAAAGACCAGGGAGCAAACCTGGCCAGGTCTTTCAACAACTGTGCCTTCTTGGAATCCTCTGCCAAAGCCAAAATTAATGTTAATGAGGTAATTTGTTTTTTAAATATTATAGTATGAATAGGTTTTAAATATTATGTTGCTGGTTTTTGTTTATCATAATTTATTAATAATTGATTAATATGATTAAACATTTTCTTAATTAGTTTCCATTTTATTAATAAGTCTACATTTAACCACTGTGGAACTGAACATTTGCCATTTTAATTCCTCTGATCTCAATTCTGCATTAACATGCCTACTCATTAGCCATTCACAGGAGCTCATGCATATAGTGGCAAAATGTGCTTATGATGTTAGGCATAATTAATATGAGTGACAGAAGAAGAGAATTTTCATTGGGAGTTTTATATCTTATGCCAGAAACACTTCATGACTGAATAGGTTATAAATATTATGTTGTTGGTTTTTTTGGTTATCATAATTTATTAATAATTGATCATTAAAACATTAACCAAACACTTTGTTGAGGCCAGAAAATGAACAGTTTTGAGTATAATATATGAATACACAAACCTCTTATTTCTAACACTATTTTTCAGCTTGTCCTCATACAAGTGAACTATGGGAGATGATGAGAAATTTCAGAGGTTACAATTTCACTGATGATTTGTTTTCATATGTTTATAGTTAATACAATAACATATTTGATGAATATTATTTTTATAAAATTGGTTTGCAGTAAAAATAATTCTTAGTATAGTGGTGAACAAACACTATATCTAGAGGATTACCTTTCAACAGAAATAACTTTATTGAGGTATTATTTATGAAGATAGTTATTCCTAGAAAAAGTTCCACAAACTACATATTGCACATGTAACAAATGATGAAATTTGCCAAAGTATAGGTATAGATAGACCAAAAGCTTAGTATAATCAAACTTAATGGAAACATACACAGTGCAAAATTGTCCAACTAGACCATTTGATAAGTTGAAGAAAATATTCTATTAGCAAAAAAGAAAAGGAAAATAAGAAATTTTTCAAAAAATGAATAATCCGTTTCTCTCTGCAAGTGAAGTAGAATACGTTATTTCTTTTGTAACCGAGAACTGTACTAGTGGTAACTTTAGCAAGGTGTGTATAGAAATGTAAGCATAGCATATTAGAAAGATTAATGTTAAATTAACTACAATGTAGTAACATTATCTGGGTATTAAACAAAACATTCATTTATTATTAGTAGGTTAGCATAGTTGTGTTTGATGGCTCAATAAACAGTATATTTTATTAAATTTTTATAAGGTGGTTATTCCTGTAAAAAGTGACAATATTTTTCATACATTGAAAGCTGTTGTTATTTATAATTATATTTCTTCTGTAGATATTTTATGATCTAGTGAGGCAGATTAACAGAAAAAATCCTGAGAAAAAGACAAAACCACCAAAGAAAAACAAGTGTGTAATCTTGTAGGTAAGTTCAGCATTATTTTACGATCACAATCCGGTGAACAGTAAAATCATATGGTATAGGATAAAGTGAAGGTAGAAGGGTTGTCGTATTAGAAAAACAAGTGTGTAATCTTGTAGGTAAGTTCAGCATTATTTTACGATCACAATCTGGTGAACAGTAAAATCATATGGTATAGGATAAAGTGAAGGTAGAAGGGTTGTCGTATTAGAAAAACAAGTATGTTTGAATCTCTAAATTTTGAGTTTTATTTCACAAGTTTGGCATGTTTGGTGAGCAGGGGATATCAGAAATAGAATGTGTTAAGTTTGGAGAAAGTATTAATAACTGATTTAACAATTAAAATAAAGATAATAGTTTTGATGAGTAATAAAATGTGATTGGCTTTACATCTAAAAATTAAAAAGAAAATGTAATCATTCAATAACAAAGCGCTCTTTTCAGTGACAACAGTGTTGGAATGTTTTAGCTTTAACTTCAGTTTTAAGGGTGTTTCAAATGGCCTTAGAAGTATTACAGAAACAAGAGCTAACACAAAGTGCATTTGAGTGAAGAAATAAAAAAATTAAAATAATTACTATAGTCACTTTATTGATGTATTTTTCATTACTATCCAGAGCATTTGATGAGAATTAATTACAGAATGATAAATTTAAGTTACATTTGTGAAGTACACACATTTTCATAACAGTTACATGCGAAGGTGAACATATTTTACAGTTGCAATAGGAAAGGAACAACTTTGTTAATTTTAGAGTAGACATATGACACTCCTCCAGTCTGCTAGGTTTTACAATGTTACACCAGTAGTTATGTAGTTTTAAACTGAGGAATGTTCATGAAATTACAGAATTACCTGTTAGTTGATTTCAAAATAAAGGGATACACCTGTAGACCTCATACTTCAAGAATTAATCAAAACATGTACATTTGTATTTGTTAACTTAAAATTTTCTCTTGTGATTAAAAAAGAATAAATTTTGAATTGTTTTGAAGATGCTACACTTTTCTGTTACTACTTGATATACTATTTTTACAAGTGTCCTCTGTATTAGTGATTGTTGTAAACAAATGTAGGCTAAAGTGGTTGATTCTTATGTTATTCATCTATTTGAACTGTAACACTATTTCATAGTGTCTGTTTTAAAGTTTCATATGTAATAATGTTTTCGTGATATGAAAGTATCAAACACTGTTATTACAATAGAAATAAGTATCACCCTATTCTTCTATACCATGAGCTTCATACAGCTTATAAGTTCTTAGGCTGAATTCTTCACCTTAACCATTGTAATATAAACTCTTTAAGCACGGGCTCGGTCCCTGAAACCGACCTCGTAACCATTTTGTGCTTGTTATAGTTTTCATTGTGTAACTTTTAAATTAGTAAGTAAATGTTAACAAAATTTGGCAGATTATCAGTAAACATTACAATGCTTTCATACGCAAAATATCAAATTTGTTTATAAAATCTTAAGGTTTGTAAAGCAATGTTTTTCTCGTGCCTTTTTTTTTTCTTTCCACATGTTGCCTATCTAACATGCAAAGTAATTTTCATTTTAAGATTGAAAATACTTTTATGCATCAGAAAATTTTCAAATTTCACATGCAAAATCTGTATAATGTTCAGATAGTTATCAAACGTTTCTTAAGAAAAAAATGTTAAATTTCATCTGTTATTTTAACTAATGAATCTTGGTATGGGTTCAGTAGATTTGACCAATCTTTTAACCACCATAAAAAATGAGGAAATAAATATAAATTATGCTTCTTTCATTCTAGAATGACAACAAATTATAACACGAAAACATAAATGTTTAGACTAAATAGCTTAAATCTCGTAACATTATACATTCATATATATTTATTATTTTTATTATATTGACCTTTCAGCCATGCCTAGCTAAAAATACAGAAGTTACAATAATGAGGTGCACATGCTCTCATGTTACCGTATCCAGTAATATAAAATAAAACTGACCTTTAGTATTTACAAAGTGACCTGTCTTGGCTGTGTTTTAGTAGACTAGTATTTTGTGAAATCACATTTCCATTATTATAAATTATATATGTATATAGATGATTATTATTTAGAAATAAGTTCTTAAACTTATTTTTCTTCAAACATAGAACAGTGACTAAAGAAGTAAACAAACAATTATATCTTCTAGTTACGACCTTTGTACTCAGTTGCTGTTTGATGTAGGTTGCTAAACCTTTTAGAATTTTGTACGTGGAGGTTATGAAACGAACTAATTCTTTTAGGTTTTATATATATACAGTTCAATAACCAAAAAATCATAAATTCTTATATCGATACCATAGCATTCCATTATAATTTATCAAGTTTAGTAACTAAGCTGTATTTCAGTCTAAAAAATATGACATTTGAAGCAAACTAAAGACACAACCTACCTCTTTGAAAGAACAAGATGGTATCCTAACACATGAAAATGGCTGAGAAAGCCACAAGAGGACATTCTGAGCTTTTGATTTGTTATTCACATGTCATATATTGAGGTAAATGTATATATGGGACTGTTTTGAAATATGGAAAGATTTGGGTGGGGTGCCACTGTATTTGATTCATTACATAAGCATTATCTTAACATATTGAAAAGATAATAGGCTCTTATTTTATATTCTAGCTTGTCAGTATCGGTAATTTGAGTTCCTAATTTGTACGAAACTATAGACGTAGTATTTTGACATCACAAACATCTAATTTGAATCAGTGCTGCATTCAACATACCATGTGACACACAAAGATCGATGTTTAACTGTGTTTTTTTAATATTTACCTTTAAATTAAGAAATTAAATAATGTATAATACTAAAATTTTAATTATAATCTACAGTTTGGTACTACACTTATTGACATAAATTCATGAAATAGTAGTTCAATAGAAATTTGATTGCAAGTCAACAAACGTGATTATGTGGCCTTTGACCCGTAACCCATCTGGTAAAGGTTAATCTAACTCTTCAGCTGGAAAACTAGTTCTGCTAAATTTTTGAGTTTTAGCCAGTTCTCTGATTGTTCATTTCATAAAATACCCCAACATAATTTTAATTGCATAATTTGTTAATAGTTAGAATTTATCTTTGATGCTTTAATTTTTGTCATTTAAATAATTGAAATTTCTACTTTCTACCTTTACTTTTTGTGGACTGAAAAGTGAAGCAAAAACTAGTAACCCATTATTTTATGCCGGAAGGTGAGAGTAGATGAGGCTGGTTAGTTGATCTTAACCCATTATTTTATGCTGAAAGGTGAGAGTAGACGAGGCTGGTTAGTCGATCTGTTTTTGTTACTGCTTGATTTCTCATTAATGTTGATATAGATGAGCTAATTATTTTGGTTCAGGGTGCTATGTATCAAGTGACAAATGAAAATGTTAATACAATGTCATATGAAATGTTCAGTATGGTAGGAAAATTTTTGTATGTTATTTAGAAAAAAAACTAATGAGCCTTGATAAGATGCTCTGTTTAAAATGGGAGTGTTTTTTTTTTTTTTTGCAGAAACTTTGCTGTTCTAAAACTGCCAAGAAGCTGGGAGAGAAATTGGGGTCCATCTTCTAGCTCTGCTGTACAGTTTATTTGTCATCTTTCTGACATTATTTCACTGTTTGTTAAGAGTTATAAAATATTCTTAGTGCCACAGTTCTTACTATATAGTTGGTTGTCAGTGCCAGTTCTTCCAAGACGTTTCACATCTCGCTGGCTGTAACGGGTTATGACCTGGAATAAGTCTATTAGTACCTTTAAAGACCTGTGTTAACATTGCCAGTGACACCTAATGTATGGTGCTAATCTTGTGTGTAAGTTACATTTCTTGCTTTAAAACTCCTTCCTTAAAACCAAATCAATTCTATCTAGCAAATCTGAAGCTTGTGTAAATCTTTCTTTTCTTTTTTTAGTATCATTAAAAATTTTATGTATTAATTTTGTTGGAAAACTTTGTGAAAAGTGCATCTGCCTGATGCTTATTGTCAAGATATATTAATTCAGAAGATTGCAAATATTTTGAATTAAATTTAAAGAGATGGCTCTTTTTTTTTATGATCCTGTTAGATAATCATGAAACATTAAGCAGTGATGTATAAGAACGATTTTTAATATGTTTTGTCTTTTTTTCAACTATAGAAGAAGCTGAAACATGTAGCAACCAGATCTAACCTTTATAAACAAAGTGATCAAGTTTCTCATTAATCACTTTAAAATATTTTGTTGATTTAGACTTTTCATAAGGTCTCTTACATTAAAAGATAATCTCTATTGGTTTAAAACTGTCTTCGTATAAATGTTCCAGTGGTTACATATATATATATATATATATTAAGATGCAGAATTGGAACATGTTGAAAGCCAGAGGAACTTCACAGGAAAGTTAAACAGAATATAGATTCCTAATTATAATTAGAATATATTAAAAGTTTTCTCAGATGTGTTAAAATTACTTTCATATACACACACACACACACAGCTTAGGATTTGTTTAAAGCTAAAAAACATATTTAATTTTTTTGTTATAAAAATATATCAAAAGGTCTAAATGCTAACTTTTTTGTTGAGGCAGAGTTTTATTTCAGATGTTTTTGTTATTTTCCTTTTATCATCATATTGAAGAAAAAACTTTATTAATTTGTAATTATTTGTATTGTGCAATTTATTTTAATGTTATTGTGAAATAAAGACCATTAAGTGTACTGCCAAATCAGAGAAGGAATGATGTAAGTTTTTTTTTTGTTCCTATTTATACGATACGTAAAAGTGTGTGTGTCATACTTATGATATGTTCTCATGGGGAGTTTTGTTAAGCATTTTCTTCTGTTATATGGAAAATACAGGAAGTCTTGACTGCTGTCCAAGATATTTTACTGAGTAAAACAATGTATCACAAGTAAATCTGTTAAGTTCTTATGGCACTACATGAACTACATTATCATGAACACTTGATTCATAATTTAAGTCCAACATCTTTTACGTAATTTGTTAAGCTTGCAAGTTCTTCAGAATTATCTCAAAATGTGAACATTCAACTTATGTAACTATCTGTTTTGAAGCAGTGGAAATCAGTAGGTTAGTGTTTAGAATTGATAAATGACATTATAAAGAGAGATTTGGTTCCTTAGCTAACCCTAGAATTCATTATCAGACTTATTTTATTGAAAAAATAATAAACATAATGTGAATGATTTCTGTTTAGTTTTGATAATTTGTTTCAATTCAGCAATGCTAGAGAATTTTTTTTATTTTTACAAATTGGTTCATTTGCTGCAAGTTTTAAGTATTGATATAAATAAAACTGGACTTTAATCACATATTCTATGTTTGCACAATTTGAAATGTTATAATGCTTTGAATATTGCAAGGATATATGATATAATCAAAATAAAGCAAGCTATTTTTATAGTATAACTCCATAGGATATTAATACACTAAATATTTCAACCAAGGATTAGCTTTCAGCATGGTTATTGTGTGTAATATCTAGTTAAAAGCATGCTGTTATTTTTGTTGGTAAAATATCCCCAAGGCAAAGTTACATACTACATAATTAGCCAATAGTAATTTTATAATATTCCACCAAAGCTAGTTCACCTTATTGTGACTAACATAAATATTTCTAAACCTTGTCTTTCTGTTTACCATAACAAATTTTTAGTAAAGAAACCTCCAAAAAATTATATTGTTTGATTTTAAGAAATCTTGTAAAAATTTACTAATACACACCAAGCATTTTTTCCCATGATAAAATATTGTCCTTCCAAGCAAACTTTAGAATAAGATTGAGAATAAAAATTTTACAGAAAGAAATCATTTCTTTCCTAAACCTCTTAAAGTGGTATTTGTAAAATGTAAAACTTGCTATATATCTTGTCATAGTGTTTCATTTAATTTACTCCAAAATGATTGTTATTAAAGAAGCACATTTTGTGGAATATGATCTTAAATCTTATCTGAGGTCTTTTTTTTTTTTTTTTACAGTAGATTGTTTGTGAACATAATCCATTGAAGTGGTAAACACAGCACTGAATGCATTTGGTATCTTGAGATGTAGACTGGGACAAGCTTTCTGTACTACTATGTTGATATGTTCACTGAATGCATTTGGTATTTTCAAACGTAGACTGTGGTACAAGCTTTCTGTACTACTATGTTGATATGTTCACTGAATGTATTTGGTATCTTCAGATGTAGACTGTGGTACAAGCTTTCTGGTTCACTATATTAGTAAACACAACACGACACCTGTTTAGTGTCTTCTGATGTAGACTGAGGAACAAGCTTTCTGTACTACTATGTTGATATGTTCACTGAATGTATTTGGTATCTTCAGATGTAGACTGTGGTACAAGCTTTCTGGTTCACTATGTTAGTAAACACAACACTACACCTGTTTAGTGTCTTCTGATGTAGACTGAGGTATAAGCTTTGATTCACTATATTAGTAAACACAACACGACACCTGTTTAGTGTCTTCTGATGTAGACTGAGGTACAAGCTTTCTGGTTCACTATGTCAGTAAACACAACACTACACCTGTTTAGTATCTTCTGATGTAGACTGAGGTATAAGCTTTCTGGTTCACTATATTAGCAAACACAGCACTGGAGACCGTGGTACAAACTTTCTTGTTTTTGAAATATTATTTTTGTTTTGTTTGAAGTGAAGTCAGGTGAACATTGTAATAATGTTTTAACATAGACTTGTCTTTTTGCTTCCTGTCACTTGTGGAGCTATGTCATGCATCTTTCTTATGCTAATGGAATATTTACTCAATTGATATTTGAATCAGAATATATTATTATTTTCTTGCCTACATATCTCTGTAAACAACATAAAATTAGTTCTTGATTTTAACAAATCCATTAAAAACATCTGTCCCCAATTTTTGAATAAATGATAATTGTATGTTTTCAAATAGTTCTTAGTAGTTATTATAATACATTAATATGACTGATATTCGTGTATTAGCAGACTGAAAGCATAGTACAAATAATTTTTTTACTGAACAGGCAAAGATCCTGCTAAAAATATAATCTATCTCTAATAAAACTTTAGTAAGTCCAATATTATCAATTTTATTAATATAATTAGTTATTATAACACCTTTTTTTTCTAGTGTTAAAGGTTAAAAGTTCATGTGATAGAAGGAATTTTATTTAATGTAACTAAAACATAACTTGAAGTATAATAAATTAAACTTGTTAATATTTCATTTTCGCTAAATTCTATGTACTCTGAAATAAAGTTTTATTAAATTACATTTGGAAATATGCTGCTTTCATTTTCCTAGCATTATTTATACATCTTAATATAATAAAAATGGATTACTTTATAATAGCAAGAAAAATTTACTATTATAAAAAGTTTCATTTGAACAGCTGTGGTTTTTAATCTACCAACTTTCAATCTGTTGTCAATTGGATGGACTGTGTCCATTCAATTGACTACAGATTGAAAGTTAGTAGAATAAAAAACTGTGGTTTCTATTCTACCAACTTTCAATCTGTAGTCAATTGAATGGACTGTGGTTTCTATTCTACCAACTTTCAGTCTGTTGTAAATTGGATGGACTGTGGTTTCTATTCTACCAACATTCAATCTGTAGTCAATTGGATGGACTGTGGTTTTTATTCTACCAACTTTCAATCTGTTGTAAATTGAATGGACTGTGGTTTCTATTCTACCAACTTTCAATCTGTAGTCAATTGGATGGACTGTGTTTTTTATTCTACTAACTTTCAGTCTGTTGTAAATTGGATGGACTGTGGTTTCTATTCTACCAACATTCAATCTGTAGTCAATTGAATGGACTGTGGTTTCTATTCTACCAACTTTCAGTCTGTTGTAAATTGAATGGACTGTGGTTTCTATTCTACCAACTTTCAGTCTGTTGTAAATTGAATGGACTGTGGTTTCTATTCTACCAACTTTCAGTCTGTTGTAAATTGGATGGACTGTGGTTTCTATTCTACCAACTTTCAATCTGTAGTCAATTGAATGGACTGTGTTTTTATTCTACTAACTTTCAATCTGTAGTCAATTGAATGGACTGTGTTTTTTATTCTACTAACTTTCAATCTGTAGTCAATTGAATGGACTGTGGTTTCTATTCTACCAACATTCAATCTGTAGTCAATTGGATGGACTGTGGGGGAAGTTCTTCATCTGTAAATGGAAATCCATCAAAATGACCTTTCCAGTATATGATTACAAAGACTGATCTAAATTTAATGTGGAATAAACACATTTTGCATTTTATTGCCAGTACCATTCAAATATCCATTGGTCTAAACTTCCAACCAAGTTCATTTGTACAAGGAAAAGGTTTAATTCAATATTTTGTTTATGTGCAACTGAAGTTTTAAAAAATTAATTCGGCATACGTGTGTAAAAGGTTTGAGTATTAACCTTTAAAAAAATTAACTAGCGTTATGTGATTATTGTGTTGGTCCCTCGGGTAACATGACAGGTTGTGATTTCTGTGATATCTTTTTTTCTACTAAAATCTGATTCTGATAGTTGTCCAAAATGGCTCAGAATGCATGTAAAAACCCAGAATTTTTGTGGGTTTATAGGCCTCCAAAACCCCATTTAATAGATTTGTTTCAGTCAAAATGATCATTGGACACTCATCCATAGTTCAACCATTTGTAATTCTGTTGTTTAATTGAACAAACTGTGGTTTTTAGTCCGTCAAGTTTCAATCTGTTGTTCAGCTGTTCCAATTTGAGACGTGGTTTTACCAAACATGTTTAGCACTTTCAGCTGTGTGTGTGTTATAAGAGTAACAGTCATACCCACTATTAAATTAATAAGGTCCCATGAAATGAAACTGGTAATCTGACATATCAATATAGAAATAAGTACACAATTTTATTAAAGTTTTATAAAATAATGTATTTTGAAGTTTTGTGCATTGAGTGTCTTGTATTTACGTAGCTGTGTAATAATACTAATATTGAATGTTTTCACAGATTGGAATATGACAATTCATTGTTCCACAACCTCCTGTAAAAGTGTCATGCATTTTACTGAACATTTAATTGTTTTATTGTCTCTTCAGTGATTTGTCTTTTGGCAATTCTGAATTCACAGAGGAATTTTTATCCAGTGATAAGTGAACTAGTAATTATTTCTTATGTTTATAGATACAACATACATTACTCCCATATAGTGTATATTCAAACTCTACAAAATTTCTAAAGTTCTCGAAATACTAGTTTGGAACTTGCTAAATCTGGTTTGAGTCATATGCAAAATTAAAGGGTTGTATTTTTTAGTTATTTTAATGGTAATCTTGATTTTATAGGTTTTTGTATTGTGTTTAAGTAGTGGTTTGTTTAATTGAGTATATTCCTCATGCTTATAAATCTGGTGTAGGGGTAGTTTGGTTAGTGCACCACCATGTTGTGTACTCAACATGCTATTTTATGGTGTTTATGTACAGTTTAACTCAGGGTTGCAATCTTCTTGTGATTTTTCCCAGATCGCATTATACATTTTAAGTTAGAAATGGCCTAAAATAAAGAAGAAGAGGGTCTTAGTGTGCGAATACTACATTTCTTACTATTCTCTAGTATACATTTCATCTTCACCTACAACAGAGAGTGTTTTTTGAATGCAGTTTTTGTCGGTTAAGATGCATTCCTTTTTATCTTTGAGGAGAGCAGACTCACCAGTGAAGTTCAGTCTTTATCTTACTTCATTTTTCTACAGCAATTGCTGCAGATCATGTGTGTATTTGTCCTAATCAATCCAGTTATTCAACAGTGAAAGTTCTTGTGTATTTTTCCTAATCAATCCAGTTATTCAACAGTGGAAGTTCTTGTGTATTGTCCTAATCAATCCAGTTATTCAACAGTGAAAGTTCTTGTGTATTTTTCCTAATCAATCCAGTTATTCAACATTGAAAGTTCTTGTGTATTTTTCCTAATCAATCCAGTTATTCAACAGTGGAAGTTC